CTCCCCACGTTTCATACGTGGACTTCCACTATTTCACTTCATATAATACCATTTAATCAAACCCTACTTAAAATTATTTATTTTCTATTTGAGTTCTTTCATTAAATTAAATTAAAATTTATATGGAACGATCGGTCAAGAATGACAGATATTCTCCGGATAATGGTGGAAAATCGAGAAATCTTTTATGTTTCGGTTCTCGCTATCTATTTTAATCTTCATTCTCGTTAGGGTGAATACAGAGAATATAATTTACGTTTGAAGTATTTAAAAGTAGATTAATTAAAATAAATAAACGTGTAAATACTAAAAAAAATAATTTTATAAGATTAAAAAATTAAAATATAATATTTAATTTATATCTATTATATCTCTACTTTAAAAAAAAAAATATAAATTTAAATTAAAAAAAATTAAAAGGAAGCGGTGGACAAAATATAATTTTATTAAATATAAAATTTGAATTTATTTAAGTTTGTAAAATTTTATTTGATATAAAATACAAAAATTAAAAATTTTAAACTTATTTAATATTTTAAAAAAGTTTATAGACGAACTTTTTGGAATTAAAGTATGGGAGAAAAAATCAAAATTAAGCGGTGCAGGTTGAATGTGTTGGATGATGAAAGTCCTATATCGGCTAATTTAGGGAATGATCATGAGTTTATAAGTGATAAATATTAACTCTATTAGTATGAGGCCTTTTAGGGAAGCCCACAGTAAAGTCATGAGAGCTTCTGCTCAAAGTGACAATATCATATCATTGTGGAGAGTCGTGTTTGTCAGTAAATATTTTGTAAATTTGTTTATTTAATTATTTTGTGGCATTGTCTTTATTATATTTTTTTTCTTGCAAATTGCATCATTTTCACGTGGCGTTTTTCAAATACCAACGAAAAGCGGCGAACCCCACAAATATAATTAATTAATAATAATTCGTCATTACTTAATTACATCCCAAACTCTAAATAAATAAATAAATAAATAAAATCACCCAATTTTCATAGATAAGGATGAGCTCTTCCTCTTTACTTTTTTTGTTTTTTTAAATAATTAAATTGTATTTTAGTTCCCATTGTTCAAGTTTATTTTTATTTTTATTTTACTATAGTCCTTAATTCGGATTAGGTTGTAATGAATTGATATATTATTCAATTTAAATTAATTATACCTAACCAAACACTATGAAATTAAAGAAAGAAAAAAAAAAAAAAAGTCAAAACAAAGAGCTTGAAGTGGGAGTAGACATAGAGTCGAGGACCCACGTCCAAGCTTGGTCAACGACCCCCAATGCCCAAATGAACCCTAACTGACCTACCACGAAATGGGGTTGGGTCAAAGTCAAGTTAGCTTATTTATATCCTTTTAGTCAAAAGTTGATGTATTTCAATCAAGGGAAAGTTTGTTTGAGGGCTGGTTCCATAGTTTTCATGTTTGAGGGTGATCCTTTGTTTGAGGGCTCTATAGACAAGTAGTCAAGTCTCTATACTATCTTTTGTTCGAGGAATCCCACGTCGGATGATTAAGGGCTTGATCATGAATTTATAATATATCTTCATTGATACAAATTGGTTTAGGAAAACCATGAAAACTAATATTTAAAGTAGTCAATATTATATCATATCCCTATGGAGAGTCAATTTGTCCACCCAATCTACGCTATTAAAATTAAGGAAAATGAATGAGAATAAATAAATAATAAAAGACAACACGACATGTGAGAATGGATATTTTATTTTCTAAAAAAAGAAAAAAAAATCAAAATCTTGTCGGTATCGGCGGATCTGTTGTGTTTTTGTACCCTAAAATTGAGGTAGAGTTAGTCAACGTCAACTCCAATAAATTTCCACTTTTCTAATTTTTAATGCCCAAAACTTGGACTCTTTTTTTCTTTCTTTCATTTTAGTCCTACCCCTCTTTTTCTCTCTATTCCCCAATAAATAAATAAATAAATAATACAAAATAAAAATTATTGGAGAAACAAATTAATAATAAATTTAGATTTATACGAGTTTTACAAAATCTCATAAATAAACATTTTCATTTATTTGAATCCAACTCAACTCAAATCAAATCATAGAGATTAGGTTCAATTTGATCGTTCGAGTTTTTAGAATCCATAACCTTTTGATTTACATAACCCAATTCAAATGAGACAAATTAGATCGGATTGGATCGATCATTCTTTTTTTAATCATCGAGTTCTTTCATTACCGGTACTCACAATCTTACATATAAAAGAAACTCTAAATAACTCCCCACTTGTTCACTTTATTAGTATATATATTTTATAAAACCACGTTCAACTTGCGGCAAAACACGTTGTTCATAACTTCCCCTGTTTTCCCCATCTCTCTCTCTCTCTCTCTCTCTCTCTCTCTCTCTATATATATATATATATATATATATATATATATATATATATATATATATATATATTGGTTCAATTCTCCCCCAAAGAAGCCCAAGTTCCATCTTCTTCTTCTTCTTCCCCTGGATTCCGATTTACAGACAGAGCTTTCTAAAAGGGTTCCAATGGAGGATTTAAAGAAAGGGCCATGGACGCCGGAGGAAGATTCTTTGCTGTTTAGTTACGTCAGTATTCACGGCGAAGGCCACTGGAATTCCGTCGCTCGTTCTACCGGTATGCAATATACGACGTCGTTTCCGGATTAAATTCCCGGTTTATTTCTTCACGGTTTGGTTTAATGGAATTCCTCTGTTTTTTTTTTGGTTTTAGGGTTGAAGAGAACCGGAAAAAGCTGTAGACTGCGGTGGCTGAATTATCTCCGCCCTAATGTTCGCCGGGGCAATATCACTCTTCAGGAACAGCTTCTCATTCTCCAACTCCACTCCCGTTGGGGCAACCGGTGAGTTTTTTATTTATTTTTATAATAATAGTAATTATTATTATTTTATTTTATTTTATTTATTTATTTGGGTTTGGTTTTTTTTAGGTGGTCAAAAATAGCGCAATTTCTACCGGGGAGAACGGACAATGAGATAAAAAATTACTGGAGGACGAGAGTTCAAAAGCAAGCTAAACAGCTAAACTGCGACGTCAATAGTCAACGTTTTCGAGATGCCATGAGACATGTTTGGATCCCCCGCATGGTCGAGCGGATCACGGCCACCTCGAGTCCTTTACCGTCGTTGCCACCGCCATGCATCGACATCTCTACATCAACTTCAACGGTTTTTGAAACTACATGGGCAAACCCAAACGACAATAACATCCCTGCCAATGTGTCGGCGTCGTCTTCCGACGTGTCGGATTTGACGGTTGTGGACGGATCGGGTTGGGATGAGGGATTCGGGTCGGAGTGGTGGGAAGGAGACGGAGTTGACTCATTAGAGAGCTTGTGGACTGAAGAAAACATTTGTTTCTTACAGCAACAGCTCTTTGATTAGAATTAGAATTTTAATTAATTAAAGAATGGAAAAATACCCTTAAAATGCCGGAAAATTCGGCGATGCTATTGGGTGGAAAGAAAAAAACATTCTTTTTTTTGTAATTTTCTTTTTCTTTTTCATACTAATTAAAAAATGGTCTAAATTACTTGGTTGACTTTAATCTATTACATATCGCCGTCAACTTCACAGTTCTAGAATGCGCGTTTACTAGGGAGAGATTTTCCCACCCTTATAAGCAATGCTTCGTTCCACACCCTTATGGACCCAGCATCCTTATTGGTGCACCACTCAATGATGGGCTCTTATACCATTTGTAACATTCCAAATCCATTGTTAACAAATATTGTCAACTTTGACCTATTTCGTATCGTCATCAGCTTTACTGTTTTAAAACGCATATGTCATAAGGAATGCTTTGTTCTCTTCTCTAACCCATGTGGGATCTTACCTCTTTGCTTCGTTTCGAACAAGAATTTCGAGGATCATACATAGATATTAGCAAAAGAGATATTAAATTAAAAGTAGTACACAAAGCATAGCCACTCATGGTCTAGTTTGAAAAAAGAAGCCAACATACACACAAAGACCTTTTCAACACGTTAAGAATATAGAATTGTAAGTTAAATGAATGGGGGAAGGAATTGGAAGAGTCAAATCAAAGTCGTGTGTGGACTTTTTAGGGCAAAATTTGATGATGATGATGATGATAATTCGTATATTATATAGTTTATGATAATGGATTATTTTACATTGGCTGCCGCAAGCTTTGAAATGTTGTTCTTATCATATAGTTTAATTATTCTTATAAAACAAAAATTGGGTATGATTGGTTATGATGGATAATGATGATAAAATTAGGCAGCCAATGGAATTCAAATGTTACATTTCAATGCCATATGACGTCATCCATGCCCTATGCAACTATGAATTAAAATCGAGTGAAATGTTGACATTTTATTTATTTATTATTATTTTTTTAAGTAAGCGGGAATAAAATAGAATATTATTTAAAAGGTTAGATAAATAAATTATCTAAATAATTTTAACTTTTTTTAGTTTAAGAATATTATTTAAAAAGTTAAATAAAAAAAAGTTTTAAGGTTATTATTATTAATGGAGAAAAAAAAAGAAGCAATTAGCTGTACTAATATTTTTCTCTGGAAATGAAAAGGGTATACTCGGGAATGACTAAGATGGAAGGGGGCAAAGTTGGAAAAAAATTTGGACCATTTCTCGATTTGTGCGTGTCATCCTTGCGCAGGGGCCATGCTAATCTTCTCTGTATCGTTCCAATTTTATCGGATGTCCCCGAAGGGACGAGCCTTACGGCTAGCGCGTTTTATTTTAAAGTAGAACATATTTTCAAAACTGACCGATGTGGGACAAATTATTGCTTTCAAACGACAGCTGATTGACGATTCGATAGACTGTAGTCTGTAGCAGATCGACACATCGAGAATCCGGCTCCTAGGAAAATGTGCAGACTGTATCTTTCATTTAAAATATTTGTTTATTTATTATTATTTTTGCATACTTCAGTGTTAATAATTAAAAAATATATATTTCTTCGTAAATTCAAAATTTCTTTCGAACTCCAAAATGCAATCAATCCATGCATTGGGCTTCTCTCACTCTCTTCAATTTTCCCAATCCCATTTCCATCCCAACCCCAAAAATTCTCTGCTAAGAACACTCGGCACCCATGGAAGCAACAGGCAGGCTAGAACAAGCCTCAGTCTCCGAACATCTTGGCCCTCCATTTCCATTGCCCTATTCGGTTCAGGCTTTCTCTTAGGTCCTCTTCTCGATGGTCTCCATTCTCGGGTGAATCTCGTCGTTTATCAAATAGGATCCCTCGATATCGGCCCACTCCGCACTAACATTTGTGTAAGATTTTCGAATCGCGATTGTAAAACCCTAAGATTCGTGAATTGCCGTTAATTTTTAGGGCAACTGATGATTTTACGAGCGATTTTGAATCTGAATGCTGCTCTAGGTTCCTTTCTTGCTGGGATTATTTTACTGTACTGTTGGATTGATTCAACTCTACATAGATGAGAATTTTTTGCCGAACAGACCGGAGGGGAGTTTGGGCAAGACAGTAGCATCCTTAATGTGAGCTTTTTTTTTGTTTGTATTAGATTTTTTAGGGAGTGAAAATGATCTATTAAAAGCAATTTTCATATAATTAGTATTCTAATATGTATTGTTTGTTACTGTTTGATCAGAGCATTGGCTTTGTTTATTGAATTGAGTGCTGAAATGTACAAAGCTGGAGTGGCTCCCAACATTGAGGCATATGCATTGTTTGCTGGGGCTGAGTTTATATGGGCATTGCTTGATAGTTCATTGCTTGGCTTCTCACTGGCTTGTGTTGTTGGCCTTCTCTGCCCTCTGGCTGAGATTCCCATTATGAAGTATGTGAACCACCCGCTTTCATTTCCGTTTATGATATTTGTTTGTTCTTGTACATTCTTATGTGATGATTTAGTTCCTATATATTTAGAAATGCTGAGGTTAATTCTCGATTGTTAGAAGTTTAGTTGTTAGTGAGGCATACGAATGACTCAATACTTGGACTACTTTTGAGTTTGGATTATAGGGAGGTGTATCTACTTTTTTCACTTGACCCAACTTCAAGTACGTAATTTGCTACTTGAAGAGATTTGTACGAAATTTTGAATGTCGAGAACTTAATTGTTATATTTGTAAAAGTATTAGGACTAAATTGTTTTAGAGCTAAACATGAGTGCCAAAAACTTTAGAAGAGACTTAAGATGAGGAAGGAAATAGTATCAGAGGTAGATTTTTATTTTAATTAAAACCCTTGTTACAAGAAGACCTCTGTGAGATACCACATCGGTTAGAGAGGGGAACAAAGCATTGCTTGTTAGGGTGTGGAAACCTCTCTCTAGCAGACGCGTTTTAAAATCACAAGGCTGACGGTAGTATGTAACGGGCCAAAACAGATAGTATTAGAGCTAGACATCGGGCGGTGTGCCAGCAAGGACGCTGGGTCCCCAAGGGGGGTGGATTCTGAGATCCTACATCGGCTGGAGAGGGGAACGAAGAATTTCTTATAAGAGGGTGTGGAAATCTCTCCCTAACATACGTGTTTTAAAACTATGAGGCTGACGACAATACGTAACGAGTCAAAGCGGACAATATTTTCTAACGGTGGACTTAGGCTATTTCAGCCTTAGGATGGACGAAGTCTCTCCAAAAGATTAGTAGGGTGGATCAGGAGCATGATACAAGGAGCCAAGTCATGTGACACCTTGATTACAAAAAAAAAAAAAAAAAAAAAAAAAAAAAAAAAAAAAAAAAAAAAAAAAAAAAAAAAAAAAA